CTCGGGCACCCGCAGGTCACAAGGCCCTCATAGAGACACGAACGAGGAAGCCTGTCAAAGGCCTGAGACAGGTCCAGCGAAAGCATCATGCCCCCAATGAGCACTGGCTTTGAGCGCCCCGCTTGTTTCTTCCAATGTGAGGGTCTGGCTTGCAGACAGGCCGCACGGACCTGATGGCAGTGATCAAAGGCATAGCAAAGAGCTTCAAACACACCTCGCCTTTCAGTGTAGGCAAAAAGCGGGAAGGCCGCCAGATTGTCAGCAACATAGGCACGGGTTGTCTTGATCAAGGTGCCTAGTACGGCTTTACCGAGGCCGCATGTTAGGGCAATGGGTCTAAGGTCATTGGGACAATGGACTGGACGCTTAGCTAACAAGGTCAGCACAGCTTTCTTCCAAGTGGCAGGGATGACAGGTCGGTCATACTGCCATGCATCTTCCAAGTACCTATACAACCATTTGGCAAGACCGGACGCAAAGTGCTTAATCAAGACTGGAGGCATCGTGCCTGGTGCGACCGCTTTAAGGGACTTGGTGGCTCGAAGTTCATGCTCCAGGTCATCCTGGGTGAAAGGCAAGACCAAGGCTTCAGTTGGTGGAAACTCTGAGGAAGTGGCTCGAAATATGGCTTCAAAATGAGAAACCAAGGTGTTGAGCTCCTCCTGAGGTGATTGGGCTGTACCGGTGTTACGAAACCTAATCTGCCTCCTTGGTTGTTTGGGTGTGAGTTGACGGATTGCCATGTACAGTCTACGTGAATCATGTCGAACAGCCGCCTGAGTTGCTTCTTGAATGACTCGTTGAACTTTGGATTTACGAAGATCTTGACAGTGCTTACGTAGTCGAGTCCTGAGGAGGTGGAACTTGGCAAAATGACTCCACGCGCGAAAAACTTGTGATTGCATCGACTGGCGGAGATGCTGAGAGTTTCGCGCCAAATGAAGGTGTCTCCACTTCAAGGCAACCAGAGACCTGGTGTGTGGATGGCACCATGCAGGTTCTGATTTAACAGGGGTCTTACGAAAGTGCTCATTACAGGCATGAACTACTTTATTAGTTACAAGGTGCGGTGGTGTACGGTTCTGTGCCGCCTGCCTCAGTTGATCGTCAATCTGAGTTTCAAAGATCTGCCACTGGGGAGAGCATGTCTCCCAATCCTGACGCAATCGTTGGACCGTGGCATGGGACAGATGTGATCGCATCATGGGCGGCTTGCTGTACCAGGCCTTCCAACTCAATGGAATGGTGTCACAATAGGATTATGATCAGGGTACTCGCGGTGCTGGTTCAGGGGAAAGCACCTGAGGCATTGGGCTTGTCGTGACATCTGATCAAGCTGTGGGCGACGGGCAAAGATGTAGTCAATGTTAGACTCACCGGCCGGACCTATGTAACTAGGATACGAGTCATGAACCCGAACGGAGGCTAATGAAAAACGATCAACCACTGCCTTGAAGCTGTCACAATCTGGAAACTGAGCATCTGGGACATGTCGACGGGTCGTGGACCCCAGCGTGCAGTTGAAGTCACCTGCAACAACCAACAAGTTTCGAAAGGGAAGCTTGTTCAATAAGTCCTCCCAGGCATGCCAAAAGTTCAAACGCGCTTGAAGGGGATCAGGTCGAAAGCGTGCTGGATTGTTCGGGTGTTGATAGCAGTTTACGAGATCAAGAGTAATGGTGCCAAGATTACACCTGATATGTTGCAACCTGCCTTCAAGAACTGTGACATGGCTAATGGAGGCTGATGAGCAGAACTGCGAGCGGACAACGGTAAGTAGTCCATCATGTGCTCCAGCCTGATTGGGCGTTGGGATGAGAGCAAACCCGTGACTCTCCCACGGTTCAGCGATGCCCCATCTGGTGCCCTGAATGAAACATATATCGATCCTGTGCAGTGATAGCCAGGTGAGAAGTTCATTGTATGATTCTGTTGACAGACCTCCACAATTCCATGTCATGCAGCTTAGTCGCGGGCCCTTGGCCTGTGATGGTCTCGGACCGTTCCTCTTCGAAGAGGAGTGAACTGCAGGTGCCATTGGAGGCTGGGTGTGAACATGTCCACGATAGATGCAAAAGCCAGTTTGGAGCAATCTCCTCTGGGCTCGAGCGAAAGATCTCTTAACTGTGCGGCGTGAGGCCCTCGGTAAGGTCCCTGAGGACGCTGCATGCCCTGTTCCATGTATTTCAGGGGTATCTGACAAAACCGAAAAACACGTATCCCTTTCCGAGCGGTTCATGGACACCGCTCTACCCTCACCCCTCCCGCTCCAAAGGTCACAGAAAAACTCTTCTGTTTGATGCGCAAGAAACTCGTCATCATGAAAGGCAAGCATCAGAGCGGGTCCGGACTTGGGACCGGATAGGTACAGCCGTGCAGCTATCGTCGAAAGGAGCAGCAGAAAGAACAGGTTCCAGTCCATGGCATGGACGACGGCCGTGCTCCGCTGATGGAGGGCTGCAGTGCACAGCTTGTACCAAAGTGGCTTAAGGACGCTACTAGGGGCTCCTGGCATCGCTACTAGGAGCAAGGACG